TGATCGAAATGCAGCGATGAAGACCGGGTCTTGTGGGGGCTGCGCTCCCTCCTGGTGGTTTCTCCGGAGGCGGATTTGAATTTTCTCTGCACGCGAATCGGCCGTCTCGTACCTTCCATACGCACTCCAAAGTCTGCCTTGCCGTGGGGCCGATAACTGTATCGGGAGGGTTACCTCGATCCGTGGCGACGCACCACTGCCCAGCTGACGTGGCTTTGATGGAGAATACGTATAGCGCAAAATCGCGTCAGGGAACAATTCAGCGAGCTCCTTTACTTTCTATCTTTGCTTTTTTCTCCCAGGGTGTGAATGGTTCCTCGAGCGGGGGCAGGAGACAAGAGAAGATGAGGAGCTACTACTTGGTTTCGGTGTCGCCGATTCATCCTAGCTGTGCTTGTAGCCGGGATCACTGGAACTGAATTCTTCGCCCTTTCGCTGATGCGGAGAATGTACATAGAGTCTATATAAGGGGCCTGCTTTCCCGGTCTGTTTGGACGTGAGAGAACAAACAATATGCACTGTGGAGTTTAACCCTCGCCAGTTACGATTTCCCTTCCCTAATAACCATGGCCGTGGATATGGACTTCATCATCCCGTACTGCCCACTTCCCCCCAAGCCTCCCAAGCCTCTCCAGCCTCTCCCCACCAAGCCCTCTATTCGTGAACACCATCTTCTCCAGCCCACTCCTATGACCCCAGCACAATTCATCATCCCTGAACCACTGTTAACCACCCATTCACCTCCCTGGCCCCCTCTTCACTTCCGTAGAGATAACCTAGGTGGCCCGGACAGCCAGATCGGCGTTCGAGCATCGAACGCTCCGTTGAACGAGTTCGATACTGCGCTGGAACGTCTGGACGTCGTGGAGGTGGTTGACATGAGCAGTCGCAGTTCCACCGACCGGGATGATGTTGAGCCGTCCAGGGCCCGTGTCGCCGGCGTGATCCAAGGTAAGCGCCCTTCATTCGAGTGAAGATCTGCTGGGAGATCTGCTGATCGAAGGTGCAAAATGTTTTCTCCAGGCTCAACCGCGCCGGACGCCAGGCCCCGCCGGGAAGCCTCAAGCGATAGACCCTCACGGAAGGCTGATCGATCATCACCTCAGAAAATCACCCCTCCTCTCTCCGATCGCGGTCACGATCCGGCGCTCGACGAGTGTGAACCGAAAGCCTCATGTCCTCCGCCTGGCCTGGTAGGTTTCTCTGACCAACACCCGTACAGTTTAGCGACGCTACCGAGATCAGTAGGCTGCAAGGGTAAGTCAGCTCCCACCTCTTTCTTTTGATTTGTCTGTGGTGCTCTGCCTTCTGACACCGCCTTCGGCAGAACAACCGATCCTCGTGGACTTGGAGAGTGATGGAGAAAATCCTCCGAACGATGATGAATCCAGGAGGACTATTGGTCTCGATGTGGGCGCCGGTGCCACGGGCGGAGGGATTGTAGGTACACCTTCCAGCACGGGAGCCAAATCGGAGCCTGGAACTCCCGTCAGCCCTGGAAAGCGCGCTGGGAAAGGGTGCAGGCTGATGGGGCGGGGACGCGTGCGACGCACGGATGTTCGAGTCGAGATTCCTTCTCCGCCAGACGCTCTCGAGGAGAGAGAGGGCCGAGGCGACAGGAGCGACCCCAGCGACAACAGTGACTTCAATCACTCCAGCGACTGCAGCAGCGGCGACGACGATGAGGCGTATCGGGAAAGTGATGATGATGACCATGTCGCTAGGCGGCCACGCAAGCGGCGGAAACTCTGGACGCGGCGGTCCTCCAGGTCCGTCGTCACTTCTGCTGCTTGCACGGGAGATCCCTCTCCGGCTGCTGTGGTAAACGATAAGCCAGGGAAACTGAATCCGACGACGAAGCATAGTGAAAACCCGGCCCGTGATTCTTCCAGTGTGTCCACTGTCTCACCAGATGATGCAGTGACAAACCGCTCAGGCGACGACATACCGGTCTCCGGCTTCCTTTCAAGCTACGTGGCCGGGTCCAGAGTGTGCTACACTATAACATTCTGTCACGAGGAGACCGGCCGGCTCCTGTCGGCGAATGCAAACGATCTGTCGAGCCCCGGCCGAGAAGGGCGGCGGTCTGTCGCGACCGGTAGACGTGTGCCTTTTACCTCGGAGGATGACGCGCTGCTGAGGGAACTCAAGGAGGACGGCGAGCCATGGGATGAGATCACCAAGCGCTTCCCGGGTAGATCCAAGGCGACTCTGCAGGTGCGGTACTCCACCAAGCTGAAGCATCACACCCCGCCGCCAACTCGCAAGTCGAAGTCGAAGTCGAGGCCGAGAAAACATGGATACCGTTGAGCGAGAATATCAGCAGCTACAAAGAGACTGCCACAGCTATTCACGTACCCTCTACTTACAGAAATCTCCCTTTGCCATGGGATGAAGTGGCCACTTCCGGTGTGTCCCACGCCAGTGTCTCTCCACGGAGTAGGGAGTAGGGGTGGCTGGTTGAAAAGGTACTGGATCCTGGGATCCGCGCGCGAGGGGGCAAGTCAACGAGAGATCGCGCAGCGGGCGGTGGACGCGGGATTGTAAAGCCCATTGGTTAGGATCTTCGTCTGTGTATTTGTCAATATCAATTTACCATGTCTGTCTAGATGTTTCGTGTTTGATCTGTTACGTTCGTTTGATTCTATTTCGCTTCTCATCTTTGTTCCGGCCCAGGAGCTCTATTGATCCAGCCGTATCATTCCCGCCCAAGGTCTACTTGGCTACGCCCATGGTATGGTATTTTTCTTTGTGTGTGTTCCTTTGTTTGTGTCTTTGTTTGTTTGCTCTTCCCCCTCTTTTCTTTGCGCCTCACTTTTGTTTTTCTTCGAATCATTTATATTTATATTCTTAAACTGTAATAAATCATACCGCAAATCGACTCGAAATTCGCGCCTCAACAGAACCCTGTAGCTATCTAGAAACCCGTCTGGTTTGTAACAGGGGCATTTGCCGCAATGGCGAATGCGAACTATGACATGCGAAGACCTTCAGCAACCTCCTCCTCGAACACCAAGGGCGGCAACAATACATCTCCGCAAGACGAAATCATGGAGATCCATAGCCAGGTTGCTCGAGATGATGAAAATACTTAACCGAATGTCCGCGATACTCGAGATGATCGAAACAGGGAGTAAAGAACGATATGATACCGATCTACAGGCCTCTACGAGAGAAGATCGGGATGCAGCGCGTAACATTTCAGTACTGGTTTGATTATTTCCATACCCAGCCGATTGCTGACCGTCCAGCTGATCCACATTTGATGTTGCTACATTTTGTGCTCAGAACCCACGTGAGCCCCAGGGCTTCTCCTGAAGTTGAATGAACCCCGAATCCGGCTTAGCGCATTAGCGGCGAGCAGGGAATGGCGCTTCGATGGACATTCAAGCCCAAAAGTCTATCTCGCCTACGTCCATGGTATGGTATTTTCTTTGTGTTTGTTCCTTTGTTTGCTCTTCCCCCCCTTCTTTTCTTTGTCTCTCACTTTGGTTCTTCTTCGAACCATTACAGTTCGTGTATTTTGTCTAGCCCCAGAGAAAAGTATAAAAGCCACCCCGATTCTGGATATCCATATATACATTCTTAAACCGTAATAAATCATCAACTGGAAATTTGTATCTCAACAGAAACCCCGTCGCTCTTTTCATTTGCAATAGGATGAATTTAAAGCATTCACCGCCATGCCGAATGCCAACCGTGGCATGCGAAGACTTTCGTCAACCCCTTCGGACGTCCAAAGGCGGCGACATGAGTAATGAATGGAAGGAAATGGACATCGAGTTATTGAGATTGTTGGTTCCTTGCCGTGGTTATATAAAGAGTTATTAGGTAGCAATGCTTTGTCTGCACTAGATTCATACAATTGTAGTTTTGGGAAGCATCACAGTGTCGATAAGTTGGCTCATGCAGGCTTTGCATTCCAAATTAACTGAGAGTTCTTCTGTTTAGGTTTCGGGCGTCCATCCTCCGCGCTATATAGGCTTTTGATCAAATATTTACTGCCAAGGCTTTCTCTCTGCATCTCATTTTACATTTCCGTCATTCTTATTCGCGACCAATGTCAACTCAAACTGGGAGACCAACGAAGATTACTGTTGCAAAAGTCTTCTTACTCAACAACCGCGTAATTTGCATTTGCCCAGGAACACACCGGGCGACCGTATGCTTGTTCCTCACTTTCGGTTGTGCTAAATGTCATGCCTTGGTGCCGTTTTAACTGGGTTCCATAAGCTAAAATCTCGCATGAATCAAGGGGGAAGAGCTTTACCTTTTGAAGGCGAAACAAAAGTAGTTCAAGTTTGCCTTTCTCACTTTGAGTGTAGCATAGGAAGTCTTCTCTTTTGCGTATCATAAAGGAACTATGAGGCCATAACTTTGCAGAGCTGAAATCAACAAGAAATGCACGGCCATCATTTGATCCCATTATATTTCGTGGAAACAGGTCACCATGGGCGATGTCCATATTGTGTAGATGATTGAGCTGATCTCGCAAACTCTGCGCTCCAGCGGGAGTAACACTAGCCTTGTCGATGGTACACCCATCAATGTATTCGAGCAACAGTCCACAAATAGGGTCTTCAGTTGTATTTGTTCTCCGCCGCCATTCTAGCTTCCATTCCAAGCTTTGTTCCTGGGCTTTATCAAGCTTGAGCCAGCCATGGCAACAAGGCCCAACCACTCCGCTTAGATTGTTTTCAATCAAGTAATCATACACTTGACATTCAACGATAAAGGGGTCTTTCTCCCATGCATTTCTTTCGAACCGTGATTCCGGCCAGTCAGGTTGCGTCAGGGTGTACTAAGGATATCGTTATTGTAAGCAAGGGTTTAATTGAGCAGAGGAATGCCGCTAAGGTGTTCTGTACCAATTTGAGAGCATATATTTTGCGGTTAAGTCGTACTTTGAAGAGATAGCTATGGCTTCCAGTGAACAATAGCTCTAGAAACTCGATATCAGGCAGGAGGTGGCTAAGATCGTTGATGAAAGGACACTTCTTCTTGTGGTGTTTTAACCACACAGTCCAGCATGTATGCTTGCGTTTAGATAAGAACGCCCGTTGGAGATCCATAGAAAGTAAAGAAGTAGTCGTGGTGTCGGTGCAAGCAGATAAAATCTCTGGAAAGAGCGAATTGCAATGCTGGGAGGTTAAGAGATGTGTGGCCTAATCAGTGTGGGCGAGGTTATGGCTGTATCCACGTGATATCAATCAACTCCGTTTATGATTGGCTTGACGTGCAGCGTACCACCAGGGTATCAACTATGGGAAACGTTGAAGGTCCCGAGGCCCACTGCCTCCTGTCAGTGGTCCTTGGCATTAACGTAGAGGAAGACTTTTAATTGGTGATCACCGACGATACACGCAAATTTAGTCTGAGATGTTCCCTGGAGGATAAATTAAAAGGCGGGGTTCTTGGGGTTTCTAACCGGGTCTGGAGGTCGTCGGGTCGGCGGTCCGATTGGAAATCCATATCAACTCCGCAAACGAGCTTGGCACTCTTCGTTGAGCACGTTCACTCCCCACCCGTCGTCCAAACCTTGTTTAGTATGAGATTGGTCATACAAATGTTACTCATCACGCCAAACAGCAATAGACTGTTTTCATGAGGTGAAGGCTTTTCCCATAGTTCTCGGGCATCTTTCCTAAGTGCTTAACCACTCTTGGAGAAATAAATATACCGGTCATTGTCTTGTTTTGGTCAATTTAAGCTTCAATTATTGCTTGATTTTGCCCTTTTACCCCAAACGACTCTATTTGGAGAATAGTTATTACCCTTTCCAATCCGCGGTCATGTCTACCCTGCTTGAATATCTTTCAGTCGTTGACCCCAGTTTGGATCGAACCAATGCCAAAAAAGGGACTAATTCGTTTAATAGAGACTGGGAAGATTTGGAGGGCGTTGAGGAATGGACAGATTTTACCTATGAAAACTTGATTGCTATGCTAGGCAACGTCCTCACTCAGCCATACCAGCAACATGAGTTTGACCCCCCCGCACCAGTTCGACGCTCCGCTTGTTGTATTGTCAATGAGCCAACTGTTACTGCCGTCCTCTTGAAATGGAATCATACCATTGTCGACTGCGCTCTGGAGCTAGCATCCAAGGCATCAAGTACCATCCCGGCGATATCTTGGACCTTAGGCAATCACTCTAGCCTTCGTGGCGAGACAGTTTTGCCGGACTGGGCTGGGATTTATTCTAACATGGGTTTTCCCCCCAGCAATCGGGTTCCGGGTGATACCAAAGTGTCTGGGAAGTGGAACACAGATCAGCAACACGATCACTCAAAACAAGAGGAATTTTATAAACCACTCCGTCTAGTGGTTCACTACGCGAAGCTGTTCAACACCAGATACGCTTATATCATATCGGACAAAGAATTAGTTTGTATCAGAAGGACACTTTCAGAATATGAAGGGGTTTCACTGGCTGCTGGCCGTCCAGCACGTATCAGTCAGGCTCCTGCCACTCCAATCAGACAATTCGATCGGCTTTCACAAGAACCCACAACACCTTCGCCTAGAACAGATTCAAGTCCACCATTCCGAGTGGTGATTCCACATCCACACTCTCAGCAGAGGGACGAACGATACCTTACCCCAGAGCATAGAACCAGAGTTAGGCAGAATAGTATTGTTTCTATCTCTGCGCTGTCAAATATGTCACTTGATTCTCCCAGTTTGCTACTATCATCACCAAGCAATATAAGATCCTCCCCCTCTGCTTATACTGCTGACGGAAACCTCGATGTGAATGAAGGCAATGTCCAAATAGCTGTGATCCCATGGGGTGAAAACAGACCAAGGCATCTAACTATCAATCTTGCACTCTTCTGGCTTCATATCTTGGCAGGATGTGATATTACTTTGCAATCATCATATCCTACTCTGGGAAAGGAGTTGACCGAGAGGAAGTTCTGAACATGAAAAGTGGGTCCTTATTTGCTTGCTTCTTACCTTTTCTTTTATGTTATCTGGCTCTGGAAAAGAGAAGTGCAGTCAAATGCCTTTTAGCGTCACCACTAGTCGAGATCGGAGGAATTATTATTAGACTTCTGGTGAATATGTTGATGCTGGGAACTTATAATTTTTTCTTTTGGAATCATCAGGTTTCAATTTCTTTTTTAATCCCTCCAACGTTGCGCAGTTCAAGTGAACAACTTTTGCCCCCGTTGTGGCTCCTAGGCTATGGGTCAACAATTTTCCGGTCAGCCTGTTATTTGGGGTTTCTCAGCATATATCTCTTCTCGAATTATTAGAAGCAACAAACTATTTTAGACTTCTGCCAAGTCCTGGTACTTTCTGGACCAATATGATGGTGTCTTTGAAATTGAATTGTTGTTTACTGTTTGTCCATCTCAATCATTCCTCGCTACATCAAGCGGCGTTGGCTGCTTGTATCGCGGTCAAACTAAGCCCAGATATTGCACGCGCGGCATCCCTTTTGGCGCAGACGAACGTGGAAGGCTCTGCTGCACCGATTCCGATTGGCCCGAAGTCTTCTGTGTCTCGATTCAACAATCTAATTTGGCTCAGCTCTCCATCTCGAATCCAAGCAACCAGATCAGCCTGGAGCGCTGTAGGGAATTGCTCCGTCGGAATTCCGCCTCAAAGTTCAAAGAATGGCGCCATTGAACTTAGTTGGATAACTACGCACGAAGAGCCGCTACAATAATGACCATTGCTGCCTTCATGTGTTCTCGTGCTCTTGCTCAGGCGCTCATCTCGAAGGTTAGAACATATCCCACCCCATTATCCCTCTGAGCATATACACCAGTTTCTTTGACTCTCACTTTTGTTTTTCCAATCAACCTGTATTGTCCAGCTCTGAAGGAGTACATGTAAATATCATAAGCCAAATCCACCATCAAAAGCTGCCGTTCCTTTGACATTCAAGAGTTTCTCCCGATTATGAATATCCGGTTTCTTCATCAATACGTTTCATTTTCTCCTTGCATATCTTCTCCGTTCTAATTCTTGTAGCCTGGCATCAGAACAGCCGAAAAATCAAAAAGTCTGGACGCTGAGTACAATTTCTACTGTGGAAAAGATAGATAGATCTCTGATTCGCATACTGGGCAAAGTTTATCTTCAGTAAAGAACGTCTAGAGCGTTAACAATTTCGGAAGGTTTGATATTACTCCATCGTTACTTGGATCCTTTCGAAAGTGATAGCAGGTCGCTGGGCGAAAGTCAAGAACCAGGCTCTAGGCCAGCGTTGAGCAGCAGTCCAATGCAGGAAATTTGTTTGCATAATTCATTGAAACAACGACGCACGGAATCGCTAACAAATAACCAACCGGAAAACCCCATAGCCTAGACAAAGTGGGGCCAAAAATCGTTCATTTGGACTTGATGCGCAACCTGGAGGGGTTAGAAGAGGTTTGCCACGTGATACCCAGAAACAATGGCAGAAAAGATTTACCGCCCTAGATGACATGGATTGTGGCGATTTGGCCCACCTCGGATTTCGCTCTCCAAGCCTGTTCTTGCATAATTGTCCCTCTACCAATGTTAAAATTGCTCTCTTAATATGGATTTATACGAGTGTAGATAAAGATGTGATTTGCCTCGGTGGTTCCTTCCCGGCTGTGGTTAGGGCACAGCTAATGTGCCTGCGGCTGGGATTACACATGGCAGCAATTTTCCTAACCAAACAATAGCCGATGGAAATGTCTTGCGCGCGTGTATTGATACAATGATGAAATGGCTGATAGGGACAAATTCTTTAGATTGAGGCTGTATCTTAGCATAATCCAAATTTGCATGGACTTCTATAATTTTTTATACGCCCGTCATCCACCACTGTTTACTAGGGTGAGGTTTTCTTTGCGCTACGTCTTGTTTATTGAAAATGGGGTTCCCTAGGTGCTCCAACAAGACCATAAAAAGGTCTTGTCTTCCTGCTCTGTTCATCAGCTCGAGAAGCGATCAGGAGATATAAGAGTTGATATTCGCGTTCAACGCAGAAACAGTCCCTACTTAGAATAGAAGTTGAACTAGAATTCATCACTACATACCTTCCTGCGTAAGATTTTCTTCTGTTGTTCCAACTTTTCGACCCGGCACGCATGCAAAGGTGCATTGCAAGTTCCTGATGCTCCTGTAGAAGGGATACGAATCTGCCAGATTTCTGCAGCTTCTCCAGCCTCTGCACTGCCAACCACAGAATCCGGTCGCTGAGAGGATCCTCAGAGGCCTTATAGCCCATCTCTGTCTCCGCGATCTCCAGTAGATCGCATACGACCGTATCAGAGTAGCTAGAGCCCACTCCATCCAGGCTCTTGTAGATTATCGCCGCTGCCGCATCCTGCATTCGAGGACAGAAAAGTCTCTCGCCGAGTACATGTACTCGCATATGGAGAGGTATGATCGTTTCATGCGACGTCCCTGACCCGTTCTCCCAGCCATCTCTCTCGATAGAGCCACTCGATAAAGAAACCGAAGGTAGCGGGTTGAACACCTTCAAGTTCCACTTTCTGCTCTTGGCCTTCAGTAAAACGATCTCGTCTCAAAGCAGCTTTGAAATAGGAGGAGGCCTTAACTAAAAGGCGTGAGTGTAAGTGGAAGGTTAGGGCTGAGTCAGAGAGATCGACGATGACGGGAACAATTGGTGATGATAGATATCTACACGAGTGACGATGAGCTTTAATTGTTTGATGCCCGAACATTTAGGATGTAGTTTTCACTCTGAAAACTTTTCCTCATCGGAATCATCAAGGGCCGGGGAACTGGTCGGCGCCAAAGTAGTCTCCGTGTCGGGGGTTGGCATTTTGTAGCGGTAGCTGTAACAATAACTGCTGTTGGGTATGGCGGGATAGGATAAATTCTAGGCTAAACTATGGGCATGGTATCTTGTAAAATCACCCCGCCAAAAGTGACGTCATAGGAGTTCATGATAGGCTACTGAAACGATGACGTAGTGGCAACTTAAAGCATTTTCTAGGTCTAGCATTCTCCTTGTCAAGCGGTCTCTCTATCAAGCATTCTAGGGTTCTCACACCCAATATACCAAACCACAACTTTGGATCGAAAACTGTGGCCTGCAATCTAAAATCGTGGCCTGGAGTTGCAAGCGCCGCAACAAAATGACCGATCACTCAAAATAACCTTTTGACAGAAGTGTCGTTTTGAAATGTTCCTTTGGCTCAAAGGCCACCCTTTTTCTGGACCCTCGCCCGTAGCTATAAAATGAAAGCTCTTCTCATAGGGATACAGTATGTAAGAGCAGTCAAGTCTCAGAGCCTTTATTTTCTATTGTATTCCAGCGACATAAGCCATCAAGCTCAAAGGGGGTCAAAAAATCATGGAGTGATCTCAAAAGCCTCGTCCAGATATGTTATCGACGGAAAGGGACGCTGCGGCGTATGCTGCGTAGCTTGATGAGGGGCTCTATATAAGTTTCAAGCTCCTTTTTTATGGACAAAAGGGATTAATGTGGCTCCCATATGTACATACGGCCGATAATTTCCATTCTCCGAGAGTACAGACATAAATTGCAGTGTATTTTTTGTTAGAAATGGGTAAATTACTGGACATTACTTCTAGCACAATTGCCTCATTACTGAAGATTTGGGGGGTGTATACTAGCAAGACGAGTGGGTCTGATTGGCCTTACACTCAAATTCTAAATATGAGGCTGTTGCAAGTACCCTTACTACATTGGGTAATGTTTGTTATTAAATACATGCATTCTGTCGTTGCAAAATCCGCCTATCAAAAACATCAATTCGCGCTCTCGGACATCTCGAGGTCTCCCTTCAATTGCGCCGTCCCTTCTTCACATACAACCTGCAAATCACATATCTGTTCCTCAATATATTCCAGGCCTCGACGAAGCGCATCATCTTCCAATGCATGGCACAGTGTACATGTACACTCAATCTGCTTCAAACGTCCGTATACTTCCCAGAGGGAGGCTATTTGCGCTCTAAACTGATCCCGTTCCAGCAGTTCTAAATCCTTACTCAATGCCAATATCGTAAAACCGGCCAAGCTGGCACCCGCCTTAGAAAGCTTGTTGAATTCCGTGAGAAAGTCTCGGAGATATTTTTGAATGTCATCAGTTGTCTCGGCGCTGATAAGACACTCAAGAGGTCGGCCTAGGTCACTAATACGCTGCTCTATATCCTGTCTCATTCGCAGCACCGCGCGGAGAGATTCCTGATTAAGATAAGCACTCAGAAACAACTTATACGGACACGACTAACTTACCATGATGGAGCGAGCCGATGATATACCCTCTGGTAGGCTCTCCGTTGCTATTAAATTATATTTAGCCTAAGGGAAAGAAAGAAATTTGAGAGCGTATAACTTTGTCTTTGAAACAAGAGCAGAAGCACTTGTATTTATACTTCCCTTTGCTCCTGTAACTTCTCCAGACCATGCAAGCGACATATTTACTCTCTGAACAATCAGAATATGGGGATTGAAATTGTACTTTGAGGAAGGCCGGCTATTCCCATTTAGAATTAAAGCAGGCCGAACAGATGTGGTAAAGCGTGCTGTCAGGAAGACGCATCATAGTAATCACTGTACTTAAGCCCAAGACTAGTATAATCTTTTACACTGAAACATGATGTGTGACTAAAATAAAATATTTTGGCTAGTTAAAGGCATCAAACTGGATTACAGTATTTGTACAATTGTTTCCTGGTGTGCGTGGGTGTTGGAGTAAATAAAGCTATAACCTATCAAAATAAAAATAAAGTGTAGAAATACCTGCCTGAGAGAGCCTTGGAATCCGGTGAACTGTTATCAACCATTAGATAGGGATAAAAAAGTTACATCAAAAAGTTGAATTACCAAAACTTTAGCGGCGAGAATTTGGGAGGGTGAATCCTGGAGTGTGGGAACGATAAAGAATGCAATCTTGCCTCAAAAAACACGGATCAACATTTTCCCGGAGTAACACATCAAGCCGAGACAGCCAGGTCTAGGTTATTTACGTGTTGGGCCTAGTCTAGCGCCCAGGAGAAAACTGCCCAATGAGCGCCGGAGTGCGCCATGCCCCTCCAAAAATGATTTCTTGCTCTCTGTACTGAATGGTGGGGTTGGGAATAACGCCGCAACTTATGCAAGCGCTCACGCAAAGCCCTTCAGCACTATCGATTTTTTTCCCACTCCGATTCCCCTCTTCGTATTAGTAGCTGGCAAACACAGGGCTGATTCTTCCTGTCCTCCAAAACTCAGTCCTAGGAGATGAGTTTGCAAACATAGTACAAGATGTGTGGGTGGCGGAAGCAAAAAGATACACCTTTTCCGCGTCTTCCAGTAGCCGGCTAAGAAAAGCCAAAATAGCCTGTTGTCAAGACAATAATGGCAGGCAAAATGAAACTGAAGTTATATGTAGGCTCGCCCATTCTAGTGGAGAATCTTGGGCGAATAATGAGGAAATTAGTGAGATTATTGGTCATATCCAGATCACATGGCACATTTTACTGCCAGCATGTCCCACCGCCTTGAATCAGCGGGGCTGAAAATTGTCGATTTCGATAGCTCTGCAACACTTGAAATCGTTCAATATTTTGGGAGATTGAAGAACGTATTTATTATAAATATTATGTAAGTGCTCAAGGAGTTTTCTCTATCTCCAGGACAGAGCTAACGTGTTAATCAGTTGTTGAAAATGGCTGAAACAGACCACCTTAAAAAGAAACAACCTTCCGAGTCCGCAAAAAAAGAGTTGGAGTTAGTAGCGGAATGGATAGGGGGAAATGACATTCGATGGGAATACCTAGGAGGAGGGCTATACGAGTGTATTGATGCGATGTTGGATGACAAGCTTAGTCGATATGTTGAAGAATTGGTGCGTTTGGCTGCCTGATATGGTGATGCGGTAGCTCATAGGAATGTGTTGAAAAGGAAGAACCCGAATCTCGACATCGCGTTTTTCGAGTACCTGGATCCAAATATGCCCGTATCCTCGCGTCTGGCGGAGTGGCTCATATACACCCTATCCGTGTACATGGGGAAGCCGCAACAGTTGACGCAATACCCGTCCAAGTCGGAGAGTATATAACAATACGGAAGGAAGTACGTGTTGAACTTGCGACGGATTTCTTGGTTATATCAAAGGGCAAGCCAAAGAGGGAAAACGACCACGATTCTGGGGATCGAGAGTAGCCTGTTATGTCTGGGAATATTCCGGCAAATTTTGCCCATCACCATCGAGGCGCGGTTGCACAAATTCATCACTATCAACATCAAAGGCCACCTGTACCCATACATCACTATCAACATCAAACGGCAGCACCCATTCATCGCTATCAACATCATAATAGGGTGGCGGCGAATCCGCATTGTCAACATTTAAGGACGGCAATAAACACCTATCATCGACGTCCGCCGCTGAATGGGCTTCAATTTGTGGGAAGCATTGGTCAACTCCATCTGGCTGGAAAATGTCTGTTCCATTCATGTCTTGTCTGGCTGTAACTAGAGCCAAATTAGTCAATACACTTAGCACTTACGTCATACGCCGTACCTTTATTTTGTTCAATTTCCCCACAACTTGTTCCACTAGACAGCAGCCCAAAATCTAGTTGTGACGTACTTATCTCTTCGACATTGAACGGGGGTGGATCGCTGTCAGCGCGATTCCGTGCGATATATTGGTGGCCATCAACTACTGTGTTGGAATCTATATATCCAATTAGACCGCAACCAAAAGGGCGGAAATAGACACGTGCGAGGTACAATGTCAGAGCGGCGAATTTACAGCGTACCTTTTTGTGGGTTTTCAGCTGGGATCGATAGAGCTCCTGTGATAGTTCTCGAATCCGCCGTACGATCGAGTAATTGAATGGACGACGATGCAAAGCCATCAGCAGCAGGTGGAGGAGGGGGTCGGTGCAGTGTATCAATATTCTGCTGTTTTGCGCTGTCGTGAGTTGAAGCTACCGATACCGCTGCCACGAGAAGTTGCATTGACGTATGACACCTGTTAATCGTGCCGGGCTGATGTTTTTCGGAGATGTCTGCTCGCGAGCCGGGGCATGGCCGTTTTGCACTGGATTCGTCACTCTCCCTGTGCCTCTTAGGGGTCCTCGGGGTAAGGAAAGCATCTTCTACAAGGGGCTGATATCTCTCTTTTAGCCCTTGGACAATACTGTTCCCAAGCGCATGGAGGTTCCACTCGCGCATGACATTTTGAAAACCGATGTTGATGAGATGTTGTGCGGCGGAATTTTTATATTTACGGTACCGTCTTTCAGTGTACCTGGGTCATGTCAGTCGTGAACCGTTTGATGGAATAGCTGACTTACTCGGTTTCTGAGACGTTGAGCGGCAACAGAAGTAGGCAACCTGGATGCTCGAACTCCTTAACCCATTCATCATATCCACGACCCAGCTCAGCCCAGAGATCAAGTTGGCTGTCAATTGTATTAACTTTTAGCTGAAGTGATGGAGACTGCTTTATGACTTTTTTGGCCAGTGTATTTCGTGCACGATACACCCATCTGTTGCCATCATGGTATCCACAGTTTTGGATTGACTGGAAGAAATAGAACAGGTCGAATCGTCGGCGAATCCTGAGAACATCAGCATTCACTTCACACTGGTGAATCTTGCGAAACAACGCGCCCCAACCTGATGCCTTGGGGACGTTTTGCGGTTGGTCTTCAAAGAAGGTCTCATGGTTCTTTGTCCATTCCTTCAAAACTTCCTGTAGTGTGCCGGGAATGGTGGCGACCGATAACTTGAAGACTTTATAAACGTTCGTCACAACGCCTCCAGACGAGCCTCCCGCATCGCTAGAGAGCTCTTTATCGCCAGAAGAATATGTCAGGTTTCCAAATGAGTCTTCCGCATCGCTAGAGAGCTCTTTATCGCCAGAAGAATATGTCAGGTTTCCCAATGAGCCTCCCGCATCGTTAGAAGAGTCGCTAGATGTGTCACCATGGTTGTGCCAACCACACACATCCTGTCTGTCATCCGTTGATCTATTCTGGTCTCCGGTATGCAAAATTGCAACAATTTTGCTCAAGGTTAACTTCTCTAAGGCCGGGAGAGAATGGTAACAAAATTTGTATATGTCAGGCGATAAGTATTTCTCATTCTCATTGAGGAAGTGAGCAAGTTGATTGAGGAGGCTACCAAGCTGCGCGACGACTTGTTCTGGGTGATCCGACATCTTGGTAGCCAGGAAGAAATAAAATCACAGTTGAAAAGTGCGAGAATCGAGTCTCCCAGCCTCGTTTCGTCTTGTTGTGTCTAGCACCTGACATTACCGCCAAGATTTTGCGATGTTTTTGATTAATCGCAGAATCTTGGCGGTCCATGCACGCCAGTTCTTGTGATCAGGGAAGCGTGCTGTGGATCCCACTGTTAGGTATGTGGTCATCGGGAAATTTCCCCCGTCTTCCAGGAGCGCCCTAGCATGCCTCCAGCGTGGCTGCTGTTGTGCTCTTCACCTAGGCTATTGCAATACATGTGGAATGGTGGCTGCAACAGCAAAGCCCAATGCCCAGGAGTATGCAAACCAGGGGGCCAGACTGCGTCGGGGCACCGGGAAACTTGCGTTCATCAACTGGGTGCGCGAGTGCGATATACAAACCCAGCTTGAGTCCGTGCCATCCTCATGCAAAGGGATCACAACAGATTTGTACAGACCCTGGACAACTCCGTCCAAAATTTGCTGGAGTGAGGATGGCATATCCCCTTGTATCGAAAAAGCCCCATTCGAGGCACACAGAGAGTGGCCGCCCGATAGTTATAAACCACAAGACATCACTCCCCGACGGATCATTTCAAAATGGACCACCTTGGCTGCCTTTTCTTACAAAATGTATGCTAACATCTCATATGCGCTTCTGTCGTTAGCGCTCATCGTGTTAAGTGCGGTGCATCTCATCCTGCTTACCGTTCACCGCCCCCAGCCTCACCGTTTGCCTGAGATATCAATCTTCGTTCTCTTCATCTGCGTCAATGCTGTTGTCATTGGCGTTGGTCTATCAGGCTTAAGACGCGGGGGTGAGCAGTCCCTTCTACCGGGATGGTGATGATAAATGCTAAATGCTTGTTTCAGATACGCCAGCATTCTACTATCCCTTGGGAATATGTACAGCATTTCCGCTAGCCCTTGAGGTATGTTATTCCCAGTCCCCTGTTTTGGTCCTCGCTAATCGCGACGTCTAGATGATTCGGCAGACCAAAATCCAGGCTGGACCTCTTACGAACGCCCTGCTGCATCGATTATTTCTAGGATATGGTTTTCTGTCCCCGGCGGTAAAGCTCGGGTTGATCTTATGGTGTGTGCTCTTCTCCCCAATCTTGATAGGCCTTGTGCTCATTGAGTTAGCTCGGTCGTCTACGAGGCGTCGGTGAAAGCTACAGCTGTGGTTGTGTCTATCGACTACACGGTACTTGTGATTGCCGGTCTGCTTTTTTGGCGCGGAATTCGCGGTATACCATCTCAGGGCCCCGTAATCCGTGAAGTTACAATCCATGCACTTCTTGTTCTCGTAACAGCAGGGTTTGCCGCAGGTGGACTCGTCCACGACTGGCCCTTCTGGATCGAAGTAAGTTCAGTGAAACCACAGCTCTCGCTCCAATATGTGCTGACATGGCTCTTAGGTGATGTTGATTATCACTCTTGGTGCCTATATGGCTCGAAATATCTCCGCTCAGTCTATTGAACCGGGAAACGCAGTGCCGTTAGCGAATTTCAGCAATGACACCATTTCCTGTTTCTGATTGCATTGGAATGTGGCTGCCTGTGGATACTAGTTGGTGTAGCAAGGGCCCATGATCTTCTAAATTTACTTGCTTCTAATTGCTTGAATGTTGAATAGTTTTAGCTATTTCCATTTAATACCATAACAATATTAATTGACCTAACTTGCAGGTTTCATTTCTGCTCCCTCCTTGTCTTTGTCCTTGCTGGGAAGCTTGTCGTGCGGCTGGATGCTTCTACTTCACAAAATAGGCGAACCCATAAGTATCCTGTTTGACGGGCTTATCACCCCAGAAGGATATTAAAGGTAAAGACTCAAGCACAATTTCTCCAGAGCTAACACGATATTCTTCGCTTGCATGGTCTGGCGAAGGTACAGTTGAGTACGCAGTTACTTTAGGCACGGCAGCAAGCAAAGTGATTCTGGTTTTGAGAGGTATATGGTTCTCTTAGAATGTTCTTTTCATTGTGTGGCTAACACCTCAGATAGGCGGAAGAGAACAAGCACCCTAGCGATGCGAGAAAATGCAGAACCCAACAAAAGAACCGACAGATCTCAAGATCGAGATGACGACCAAACCACGGCCCATGTTCCACAGACCGAAATAGGGAGGAAAAGGCGAACCGAAGTTCGCCAACGTCTGAGGCTCTACTGCTGTGTATGTAGGGAGGATGTTAGCAGCGGGGGGGAATGTCAACTATGTGGCCATACATCGTGTCCGGAGTGCTTGCACGAAAGGAGACTGCGTAGGGAAAGATCTGTTGATCGATCACACAAACCGAACCAAGCGAATAGATGTCATGATGCTCAGACAAACAACCAAACGCGCGCAGTCCCGGCGACGCTTAGCCAAGCTTTCGAGATCGATGAAGACCCGGAAACAGAAACAGACTCTGTGCTCGAGATGTTGCCTTATTCTGAACTGAAGCAGAAGTGGAGAGAGCAACAACAAAAACGGCAGACCTGGGTTAATCGAGCCATCAAGTGCTGCAACTGCGAAGTAACTGGCTCGGCGGTCAACAAATGCGCATGTGAGCATGAGTATTGCGGAATATGCTTTCATTATTCTGTTGACTAGTTGCAAGGAAAATGATTGGTTACCCAAAAATAGAATCTTGCTGGTTACATTTTCACAGACTTTCAGGTCAACAATTTTTCCGACAGCTTAAGCACGCAGAATGCCTTCATAAAAAAGCTTCTCTAGATTTTGACCCTATCAGCTTTCAGGCCAGTTACAATATTTCAAGATGTAGAATGTATATTGCAATAGGTTAGGTGACATCACAACTAATTATGGCTACCCTTTGTGTGTCTCGTTCACCGAGAGATAATCGAGGGGCCATGCAAATATCGGCTCCGGTTGGGCGAGGTGTATCTGCTCTTAACATTCCAAAGGTGATAAGAAGCGGTTCTTGCCTCCATTGACATCCCCTTAAAATATTTCCCACAAACCAACCCGGCAGATTTTGTCTTGTGGAGATGGTGAGTTCCACACCACCTATCCATTCTCTCTATACTAAGAAATTTCAGGAGCCCAATTCCCTCGGCGCGAGACAGTCAACCACATGTTCAACCCACCAGCGAAGATATCGCGATAGAAATTTCACTGGTTGTTTGACCTGCAAGGCAAGGCATGTCAAATGTGATGAAGCAGCACCTGCCTGTCGCAACTGCATAAAAAGGGGTTTGCACTGCGATGGCGCCCAGAATGAAATACTCTTCAAATTCTTCGACCCCAGCCAGGCGTCGTCCGGTTTTGTAAAGAGACAGCATAAAGCTTTTAGAAGGGAAACGGCCAAAAACCACGGTGTCTCCAGCTCACACCCATTGCCATATAAGGACCCAACTTCCCCCTGTCTACGTTCCGTGGATTTACAAAGTGGGACCCACGCTTCCACGGAATCTCTTGCCATGGTGAGTCTGCTATTCTTCACCTACTTAAGGAGAGCGCAGCTAACGTAGGCAAGGACAACCCCACCACTGGTGACGGCAAGCCCCCGTTTCAATCTACTCCCAATGATGAGGCTCGCGATCTCCAGTCCCATTCATCCAGCTATAACCCGTACTCGATTGATGAAGCTAATTGCTACTCAGACTATTCTGATATCCGTGGTGATGTATGGAATACAAATGGAATTGACATCACCAATGCTAATTCTAAATAGATATGTCGCGGCGATGAAAATGCACCCTTGGCTTTCATTGTTTTCATCTCAGAGCCTGTACTTCAAGAGCGGCTGGAGTATCTGAAGGCTCATACTTCAGAGCTGCACAAGCAACGCAGTGTCTTTCGCACATTCTCCGAGCTTAGAGTTGATGGACCTCTGGCATTACCATACGCGCTCTGTCTGGTAAAGACTCTCCGACAACACGCAGGGCAGCAATTGTTGATGAACAGATGAATGATACCATCCTCTTCCTCTCCACACGATTGAGAGGGCTGCTGTCAACACATCTGTTATATACTCATCGAGATCGCATAAGTCGTGCATCACTTCTACTTCAACGACCGGTGTTCTACAAGCGTTCAGACTTGCCAGGAAATATCTGGCAAGAGAGCACTGTTTTGGATTTCAGCCTGGATGGCCTAACTGTGACATTGCACCTTAGTAATTATCGCGTTCTCAAAGTGTCTGATGAGCTTTGGAAGGGGTTCAACTCCTTGGCTTCGGGTATTGCTGATCCGGCCGTGATGTTTGGCGTTGGCTAATGTATTTTATGACTTTCTCGGCCGGTTTGCTACTGCAGGAGGATAATGTTGTTGGTTAATTTTATGTTCAGGTACAAAGTCTTAGGGTTGCCGTAGTACCATCCAATCTCCTAATTCTTCACTCATTCGCATTCGCCTGTTAGCATACACACTCTTAATGATGATTTTTCACGCCGGGACCCATATAACGCCTCATTGCTGGCGGGAGAACACGAAGAATCGAGGGGTGAGCTGCTCAAAATGAGACGCATCCTATTTACACGCTGGTTGCATGCACTGATCCCATAACTGGTACATGTACTGTAGGCCATTAGCGCAGACTAGGGGCCGAAGGCAAGGCATATAAAACTATGGCAGGGGCAGCCATTCCAATAGATTGTTTAATCACACTTTTTTTTTTTTTTTTTCCCCTTCTCCGTTTTCCTTGTAAGCAAGAGTGGGCGGATTGGTATGGTATAAGAATGCTTGATTGCCCAGTGTGTCTGCCCTGGATCATTCAACCAAACCTTTATTCCTACGAAGTTTTCTGAGGCACGCACATAAAACATCATTGGCATTATAGAAGATAGGTAAAGAATCCCTTACACACCGCAATGCAGGTATCAAGGTTTGCTCACAAATCTATCAGGTACCGTAATGGCAGCTACAGTCCATGTCTACCGCATTCACGATCCGGAACCCTCCGTGATTCCTCGCACTGGGCTATCCCCTCAGTATGCCTATGGAGCCCATGTGTTTCGTTGGAAAGAGTATTTGTTTATCACCTCCAACAAGAAGCCGAATGTCTCCGGAGTCCAAGACATTTCTTTGAAAGGGCTCAGCGATGAGCAAGGCTTTCTCCACGCTGCAGCTGCTTCTCGGAAAGCACCTCAAGTTGTTGAACAAGCATATCTGGAGATTATAAATAACGAAGAGCTCGCAGGAGAATTTACAGCCGTCTGTGACCGTTGCGATGCAGTGATGATCGAGTATCTGGAAATCGTGAAGACCGAATGGTTGAAATTTGCCGAGGCATTCGAGTCTGGGCTCCAATGCCTTCTTCAAACGACTAAGGAGGCAGAAGTAGAGAAGGCCCTAAAGCAGTTGAAGAATTGTCTGCATATCCTCAGAGATAGCATGGGAAACGTCACCCACGAACAACAAACGGAGAACATCCAACACCCCAAGAGCTGGGCGCTCGACTCCCTCCTCTGTCTTCTCGGGGATTGTCTAGGCAGGATGGAAATGATCAAATGGGCATTCGATATGGCTAAACCATCTAAAGGGCCATATGACCTGCTCCGTCTTCGGGGTGATTTGATGTACATCAAGGGACGATACAAGCAGGGGATAGGGGAACTGGACGAGAACCTGGCCCGTCTGACGGCAAATGACGATGCTGCAACATCAACCCTGGTAGGTACTTCCATTTCACCTGCTGCTCTTCTCCGCTCACCGTTTCCAATAGACCGGAAGGCCTACTGTCCACCAAAGTCTTCTGCATCTATGCATTGTTCTTCTTGAGTCCCAGCCTTCAATCACAGCCCACCGCCTCAGACGGCAGCTGGATATTATGAACTGGCAGCCAACCAACTGGGAAAAAACCTGCAATGAATCCGATGATCTTTCTGATGACAATTACCTTGATATCGCGCTTACTTTAGAGGACCTCGAGGTATTTGAAGGCATCAGATTAACAGGAGAGATGGTGAAGGAACAGTACACAGCTCTGATGAGAGAACTGAGAAGGCTCGCTGGTGATATAGCGCCTGGTGTACCCAAAAGTGATGATTTTTCTCTCGCTGCGAACGTGATCCTAATCTGCACATGTATTGGGGTCCATGCGGTCGCCCCCCAGCTGGAGGACGATTTCTATGCCAGGACGGATTTTGAGAATCATGCTGCTGAGCTCAGCAGATCGCCACTGTACCGGGAAAAGCGGATCTCTTCTGAGGGCGCAGCAGACGAACTCGACCGCATTATCCTCCCTTTACGACCCAACAGAGACCCGGCTCCGTCCCCTGAAATCAAAGACAGCGATGTCTCTCGCCTACCACTGCCTGAGAGGCGGTTGGGTAAAAGACTGAGTGATGGCGATTTAAGCCAACAGAAACGGTCGAAAATGTCGGAGGCAAGTGATTTCTGGTGAAGTTGGTTGTTCTAGCTAGGCGAGCTACAAATGATGCCGGACAATCTTTTGAATTCTATATTGTTTCGTAAATATCAGGCGCAATTGGGATGTTTGTTCCTGGTTGATACTTTGTTAAAATCAAAGAAAAATGATTGGTCAAAATAGAAAATCCTTGCTTTGCGCCAAATGAATACTTGCACCCGGAGTTTCCTGGTTGGTAATTTTGTTAAATCAAAGAAAAATGATTGGTTACCCAAAAATAGAATCATCCTTGTTTGTGCCAATAAGAAATAGTAAATTCCGGATGCTGAAAACCTCAGCTATGTCAGATTCTAAACTATACACAGCTGGAATTAAGGGCTCCCATCGCAAGTGATGGCTTGTACTGCCTTGCTGCATATGGTCCGCTTGCTGCACTTATCCTCCTGACTTATAAAGAATGGCTACGCGTATTTTGAGCTTAAAATAATGACAAGGTCATTAAAATCCTACCAAACCCGGAATCCTTTTAGAAGCTGCCTATATCCTCCTCATGCTTGGTGCAAGGGAATCTTCCGTCAGCGGTGTATAGTTTCCCAGCGCTAGACCCATACAAGCCACAATGAGAGCCCATCTCTCGATTCCAGCGGTGAAAAGTTCCCCAGTTATTGTGGATACACAATAGCGTGTACATATCCGTCCCCTGCACCAAGTACCAAGCCAAATTTTTGTCTCTCGCTTGTTTTGACAATCATCACTAGCCCCCTTGCCTCGGCCATCCACACTTGTTACCCACAGGAGGAAGTTGTTCCCGTAGCTGCATGATCTTTTGCCTTGCACATGCGCCCTGTTACATGCATGCACCGCTAGAATCAAACGACGGAAAATTCCCCTGCACCAAACATGAGAAGGGATCTTGTCATTTAGGCCTGCATGAACTCGGCTGCCTTGTTATGCGCATGCGCCAGGCGTGCACCAGGCACTGGCCCCAGCAGAAAGAGATTTTAAAATATAGGTTCTAAAAGGATTCCGGGTTTGGTAGGTTTGGGCTGCAAAAACGGCTTCTCTCATAATTTGCCTGATTGCTAAACTCAACCAGACCAATGATTGAGAGACTACCAGTGTGATCCAGCTGCAGTTGTTGTGCCACGAATTCTTTGCTTTGGGGATTATACAGTCCGGGTTTGGCTGTATAATCATAGATGGCCAGCTTGGTGAAAATGTTACTGGCGCCTGTAAATATGGTCAATGCCCTCAGCCCTTCTATATATTCATAGCCTATTGGGTATGGATGGCCATGAACATATTGATTCCCAGTTGGGTTGGGCGAAGCGAAGATCTGGCTTGCATTCTGGACCTTGTTGTGTCTCTCGCTAGACTCCATAAAGAGAGGCCTTGCTTCCACTCTTCCCTCATCTCTTATTCTGTGCATACACAATGCTAGCTGGCATGGGATCACAGGATCCAAAACAAGTGACCAATCTCAACCATCTCCTCAGCCCCGTTCCAAAAGACTTTTTAGCTGTTCTCTAGTTTTACCCTTCCTTTTATCTTTAGTTGTAATAGCCGCCGTGTGGTTATCTGTCCAGTTGATCAAAATATTTCTCCAGTGACAAAGCAAGAGCCAGTGCTCTTTAGCACACGAACCGCGATTGACCCTGCTCCAGTGAACCCAGTCCTCGCTATTCTTTGCCAGGACAGTGACAAATTGTTGAGAATGGATGTCCGATCGCTTTTGAATCCTCCAGATGAGGGAGAGAGGAAAGTGATTGCTGCCGTTGCATCAACAGAGAAGATATCTCAGCCTCCATCAATAACCCAAGGCCAGATCAATTTTCCACACAGGGTAAGATTTCTCCAGCTTATGGGTCATACTTCTGGCTGATTTAATGCGCGCAGGAGCAAATGACAACTGTGGATGCAACCTGCTGCCCCCATGAACGCGCTGAAAAAAGATATGAATGCTCGGTGTAAGTTGTTTGCACGAAAAGACAATATGAACATACATCTAAAAACTGTCTGCCAGGAACACCTTGAGAAACCCAGCGCCTTCCACCCCAACAGGCAAGAAACGGTCCGCCGCTGTCGTCGAAGATGAGGAGCGTCGAATTTCAGTGGGCTATTCACATGGCAATGCCTCTGGTGAAAACCAGCCTTGGGGTGGTTCTCATATTCAAACCGGAAACACTGAACATCTGCGAACACACTATGATTTTACAATATCAAACCCGGATGCTCCAGCGACGCCGGGGTTCCTTCCCACTCCCACTCCGGTTCAAATTACCCCTGCTCCTGCCACAGTATCTAGCACCCTATTTCCTGATGGTTGGGTGCCAGACCCATATGTCTCACCTCAGTTGGAGGATGTTTTGAAATTTAAAACTGCCTCATTGGGCGTTCCGCATGACCCCGAACCACCAGAAACAACTATCATGATTCACCATTATGATGTTGAGGAGTTGCCATTCGAGATATTGACGTCAGAAGCTGCCAGAATATACGATGTTATTTTGACAACCGAAATGGGATGTCTTGCAGAAGATGCAAATATCTCATGTGTTGGAAAGTTGAGTGAAAACCAGTGGATCAATCTGGTCAAATGGCATCGAAGCCTCATTGATCACCACTATGATTTACTCATATGTACGCAACATCCAATCACCAACGGAGAAATTTTGGAGATTCCTGTTAAATATAACATGCCGTCACGCATGCTGCACCAAGGAATCTATGCCTTGCTAAAAATCATGAAAGCTCGACGACCGGACAGTCATGATTACATGATTTCCTTCATCTACTATGCGTACGGCCTATTGACGCTGCTTATAGATATGGTCCCCGGATTAAAAAATTTGTGGCTTGAATGTCTTGGTGACCTGACCAGCTACATGATGTGTCTTGAGGATACGGATTCTGATGAGAGGGAGACCTGGAATGAAATTTCATCGAGTTGGTATCACAAGGCCCTTGATGAGAACCCTGGAAAGGGAAGTCTCTACCACCGACTTGGTAATCTTTCAAAACCCAACATGGGTGGGCAATTGTTCTGTTACTCCAGGTCTCTTATGGCAACCAAACGATACGAAAGGTCAAAGAGCTCCGTTGAGTCTGCCTTTAACATGGCATTGGACTCAATTCAGAAGCAGAATGTCACCCCGCCAGACTTACCATCTTGGTTTGTGGGCTCGCATGCTATGCTTCTTCGCGGTGGTTCAATCCACAAGTTCATTGAGTATGTGAACAAGTAC